CTTTATTGTCCCCATACCGCTTCCACCTTCAGAAGGCATCCAGAAAAAAGCCATTTGTCAATTACTTCCAGCTCTTTCAGTTCAGGATTCCATTATGCTGCACTATTGTTTGTGTGCATCTGCTTAACGTGGAGGGAAAAGATGTTGCTAAATTGGCAGCAGAACAGTGGGCTGGGTAGGAGAGGTGCCTTCCCCATTGTGTGCACAGGGGCGGTTCTGCTGACTGCAAGGGTTCACACAGCAGAAAAAAACCCAAATGCCATCCCTGCTCTTGCTATTGGCAGCTGTTCTCTTATCACCAAAGAGAATTCATCGCACCACTGACAGATGCTGAGATTCAGAAGCTGGAGCTGAAAGCTAAAGGGATTTATTAAAAAAACAAAAACACTCCCTGAAAAAAAAAAAAATTAAAAAAAAGAAGATAGGAAGAGTCCAACCAAACCAAGTCACTTCAGTGCACACATGGCATCTCTCCATGGGAAAGGGAAGAGAGCCAAGCCCCCGCGCAGATGTCAGCAGGTCTGTCTGCAGCACTCCTGGAAGCTGCTTGGTGCTGAACTAAGGAGCTGCAGGAAACCATGGAGAACTTGGCCACAAAATTCCTAGTGGGGACACTGGGAGAAGACCTTCAGGGAAGAGGACCTTGAAATCAAGCGTTCTTGGAATTAAAAGTCCATGTCACGCATTCCTAGTGTTCTCTCGTGAAGGGAATTGGTGGATCAGGGCCTGTCCTGGGATTTCTCTTCTTGCACACACACACACACACACACACACACACACTTTCAAAGCCTCTTTGACTCCTACTAGGCTGCAAGTCTTAGTTCCTTACATGTGACTCCACTGTGCACCAAGATCTAGGAATTCATTGCACAGCTGCTGTGGCTCCTTCCAAGAACTGGAGACAGGATTCCTGTGTTGTACATGACCAGGGGCTTTGCTATCTCCCCTCCTGATGTCACGCATGGCCTGGTGCACAGGGACACTCCATGCACACCAACAGCTACATGGCCTCTGTGGCCATAAAACAGTGCCTGTACTTCATCCGCAAGTTTTGAAAATTGCTGCACACACATCCCAACATATCCCACCTGCTTCCCGTCCCCAGGGAAAACACAATTGTGTTTATCACAGGCAAAGAAACCCTGAGCTATCCACCAATACTGCTGTGGGCACAATGCAAAGGAAGCCATGCAGTGCCTTCCACCAACACTCCCAGGTGCATTTCTTAATTAAGGCAGCCTGATAAAAGGTTTAATTCCCGGGCACTAATCTGTCCTTTCTGGAAAACTCAGAGCAAGTTTAATTCTCCCAAAGCGGATTCCAACAGTGGGGAAAGGAGCCCCAGAGCATCTCCCCTTTCCTCACTTGAAACGTGGAAAGCCGAACAAAACTTGGGAGGAGGCATTTTGCCGGGCACTTCAGAAGAGGACCAAACTGGGAGCCACGGCAACTTCAGGAACACCAGCAGCACCCCGATGCACCCTGCTCGGGGTGTGCGGGGCCCGGGCCCGGCGGGGTGAGCCCCGAACTGTACAGGATGAGGATGAGGATGAGGATGAGGAGGAAGGTGGCGGGAGGCAGGCCCAGGTGCGTGGAGCAAGGCTGACACCTGCAGGGAGAGCTGGGCATGAGCAGGGTGGATGCCCCGACCCCCAGGTACCTCGGGTCCTCCCGTCAGCCACCTCCTCCCGCTCAAGCAGCACGACCGGCTGCAGATGGGGAAAGCAGGGGCGGAAAGAACAGTTTTAATGCCTCAAAAACCAGCGCCGAGAATATTTCCACCCGTTCAGTTTTAAAATAGAAGCACTTTTCTGCCGTCAACATGTGAGATATTTGCTTGGGATCACTGTTTTTCCCCCGTTGCTCCCTGGAAAACCACAGCATAAATGGAGCAGAGCACAAACAGATCCTGTAATCTCACACAGTCCAACCAGGTTTCCTTGCCAGCTCTGCTCTAGGTTTCCAGTGGCAGAGCCCCACACCGTTTGTTCCCTGAATAATTTAAACGTGGTGCACACAGTAGCGGCTTGAGCTGGGGCCTCGGGAAGATTCCGGGACAATGAATTCCCCGGGCGTTGGTCACCTCCCGGGCTGAGCCCCCAGACCCTGGGAGTTTCATGCTGAGTCATCTCGGAGTGCAGAGAGTAGACCGGAGCCGCAGACCCGAGTGCTTGGCCAGGCACAGGGCCAGGTCACGGCTCCTTGCCGGGGGCGCCGTCCATCCCTGCAGCCTGGGCACAACTCGCAGCTGCCCCCTGAGCTCCCTGCTCCTAATGAGCTGCTCAGCAGGCAGGGAGGGCGAACAGAGACAGTTCGGCTCCTGGGCGACCTCCCCCGCCACCTCTCTGAAAGCCTTTCCTACCTCTATCCGCACAGCTGACTCCAGCCCCAACAGAAAAGTTCTCAAGCGCATTCATCTTTGCTCCCAATTCATCTTATCTGCCAGTAAAATTCGAGATCCAGTGTAGGAATTAAGGCAAGCTATTTACTTACCCAGAAAGGTCAATTTCGGTCAAAGCTAGCTCACACAGATGGTTAATTTCAACCCCTTACACACACAACACAATTGTTCAATAAACTCAAAATAAATAGTGGAAGTAATTAATTTTAAGCTGCCCTAATTGTTTCTCAATTTGACCTATTAATTTAACCTATAACACTCACCCTATCAAAGCTTCAAAGCTCTAACTTAACAGCCAATTAAACCTTCTTTAGGAAAAAAAAAAGAAAAAAAAAGTGCTGTCAGCGCCGATTTCTTCTGACTGAACCCCCTGAAGCACTTGGGAGTTCATTTAAATTGTACTGGGCTTAGAACCGAAGTGCTTTTTGCAGATATAATGTTCTAATGAGCTAACGAGACAATGGACAATTAAGATTAATTAAGGTTTTTAACTCGGTATCAACTTTCTGATCACCCTTTGGCTTGACGAAAGTGGTTTGATGCCGGAGCAAACAACAAATCCCTGGGTCTGTCAGCAGGACAGGCAGGAGTGCACGCAGTTTTCCCCCGGCTCACCAAGATGCGGGGCTCTCTCCTCCTGCCACAACAGCCACGGCTGAGGATCTCCCTGCAGTGTGTTCCCTCTGTGCTTCTTTCCTAAATTATTCCTACTAACTTCATTAGTAGAAAGCTTGGGTGAATGGGAAATCCTGAACCAGAGAAGCAGTATGGAACAGAAAACAGAAACTAAGCAAAACAGGAACGAACCATTCGGGGTCAGGTTCCAAATACATCCTGAGAAGTTGAAACACAAGCAGGTACCCGAAACCTAAGCCTGCTCAATTATTATGGTGAACAGGATTCCTCTGAGAAGCTCCTGGGGTTACATGAGGGGAAAAAGGTACCCAGCACACAGAGCAGGAGGGAGGAGGAGCTACCCACAGGTCTGCAGGGGCAGGAGCCACAGCGCTCTAGGGACACTAACAGGAAGAAATCTCAGTGAATGATTGATTGGCACAAATATTCAAGAGCTGCTGCTGACCAAATCCAAGTTCATTGGGGTAACCAAAAGGCATTACACAAATCTGGGGGTGACACAGCACGGCTGGTTCTGTGGAACACCTAGACTTGACCGTCAGTGTGGATTTTAGACTCCCATCTTCCCCGTCTTTTGCTTCACATTACACATCTCTGCCAGGGGAAAAGCCCACACACTCCTCACACTGTTCGGTTTAATGAGACCCAAGACGTTTGCAGGGGCCTTCCCGGCACAGGACTGGCAGGGAGGGCCAAGTGAACCTGGATTACCCTGTGGCACACTTGTCTGCAACTCTGAAACCAAAAGTCAAATCTTTTCTTATTGAGGCAGTGCAAACTTTTCAAAGAGTCTTTCTCACTACTAAGACTTTTTTTTGTACTTGACAGAGTACAGAGGGCAACAAACCCCCAAATCATGATCTCAAATAACTACAGATTACTCTTGCACAGTGCAATTGCAATTCCCACAGGGAATGACAGCCCTCAGTGTTGTTTGACCTGACAGGTGTGTTCCTGGCCTCACTCACTCAGTTTGCAGCCTCAGGCCTACCTCAGAGGAATGCCTGACTGGCCCAAAGGCACGTCTTTGTTGTTTCAGAGGGATGAAGGGTCCAGGGGGTCCTCAGGAAGTCCCCGCGGATTCTGAGGAGTCCTGGAGGGTCCCGGAAGGTCTCAGGAGTCTGAGTCACTCTAGGGCTCTGAGGAGTCCAAGGTATACCTCAGGAGATCCTAGAAGTCTGAGGGGTCCCGGAGAGACTGAGGCGCCCCAGTGTGTCTCAGAGGGTCGTGAGGGTCTGAGAGCTCTGAGGGGCCCCGGGAGTCTGAGATGCCCTGGGGGGTTCTGGCAGGTCTGAAGGTTCCGAGGGATCCTGGCAGGTCTGAAGAACCTCGGGATCTGAAGAGTCCAAGGCACCTCAGGGGATCCCGGCACCTCTGAGGGGCCCTGAGGGGCTCCGGCAGGTCTGAGGGGTCCCGGAGGTCTGAGGGCCCTGAGGCGCCCCGGGCGATCCCAGAGATCTGAGGGCTCGGGTGGGGGGTGCATCCGGGGCGATCCCAGAGATCTGAGGGCTCTGAGGCGCTCCGGGAGTCGGAGGCGCCTCGGGGGGCTCCACAGGTCTGAGGGCTCTGAGATAGCGCGGGGATCTTAACGCGCCTCGGAGGATCCCGGAGGTCTGAGGGGTCCTGCGGGGGTCCCGGGGGTTTGAGAGCTCTCAAGGATCCCGGGAGTCTCATGGCTCTGAGGGGTCTCGGGCGGTCCCAGAGGTCTGAGGGCTCTGAGAGGACTCGGTGGCTCTGAGGGATCTGAGGCGTCCCTGCAGCGCCCCCTGGCGGTCATTGCCGGCACAGGACGAGGCGGAGCCGCGCAGTGACGCCATCGGTGAGCGCCGCGCGATGACGTCATCACGGCCTCTACCGGCGCCACTCGCGGCGCCGCTCGCGGTCGCGATCCCGATCCCTATCCCGATCCCGGCCCCCGGCCCGTGAGGGCGGCTTGGGGCGGTCCGATGCGGCGGCGGGCAGGATGCACCAGAAGCTGCTGCGCAGCGCGCACTACATCGAGCTGGGCAGCTACCAGTACTGGCCGGTGCTGGTGCCCCGCGGCATCCGGCTCTACACGTACGAGCAGATCCCGGTGTTCCTGAAGGACAACCCCTACATCACCGATGGATACCGCGCCTACCTGCCCTCCCGCCTCTGCCTCAAGAGGTGAGCGCGCCCCGCAGCCCCGGGCCTCCCCCGCCGCCGCCGCTGCTCACCGCCCGCCCCGCCTTGTGTCTCCTCTTCCTCAGCCTTTTCATCCTCTCCAACGAGACCGTCAACATCTGGAGCCACCTGCTCGGCTTCCTGCTCTTCTTCACGCTGGGCATCTACGACCTGACGGCCGTGCTGCCGGCGGCCGGCGCCTCCCGCGAAGACTTCGTCATCTGCTCCGTCTGCCTCTTCTGCTTCCAGGTGGGCTCCGGCTCTGGGCGGCGGTGCCGCTGTGCGGGCTCGGGAACTCCGGGACTGCGCGGTGTGAGTGGCATCGCTCTCTTGGAGATAAACGCCGCTGTGGTGGGGTCGGATTTGACCTGCAGTAGGCTGGGGAAAATTGAAATGAGCTGGCGGAGGAGAGAGTCAGTGGTAAATAAGTGCGCTTGTCCAGGTCGTGTTTCAGAGCTTCTGCAGTTTGAGGGGTTCCGACGCGGCTCCAAGTACTGCTGGAAAGGGCCAGGCACCGGAGCACGGAGATCAGCCAGGCCCTGATGGTCAGAAGGGCAGGAGGGCTGGTGGCCTGACCTCTTACTTCTCAGATAAGTCTGTTTCCACAGCAGACTTCAGGCGTGTCTCCGATGGGCCACTGCAGCTCCTGTGAAGCACGCTGTCCTTTCAAGAGCACAGAGAGCTAAAGGCACCATTTGTGTTCTCTGCAGGGTACAGGATGCCTTTGTACAGCCACAAGCGGGGAACACTCCCTCGCTGGCTGGGAAAGCACTGCTCTAGTGTTCCTCTCTGCTCCTGCAGAAGGTCACAGACAACCAAACACTTCTCAAGGAAAAGATTTTAAGGCAGCCTAGGGGCAAACAAGCAGCCTGTGCGTAAGAGTTCAATTTCTGTGTGTTCCCTCAGTAAAGGCACACAGTGGGTGCTGGGCAGTCAGGGCAGATTTGGGCTGTGGGCTCTGCCTGGCGCCCAGTGGAATTCATCCTCCCCCTGTACTGGTGCAGATGTGTCTCCCTGGAGCGCTGTCAGCCCACTCAGCCTCACAAGCCCACTTTTCTTACTTGTGCCTGGTTATCAGGGTGTGCAGTGTCCTGCTCCTCCCTCCCCCTGTCAGGGAGGCTTTCTGGCTGGCAGAGATCACAAGGGTATGCACCAAGGTGCACTGCACGACACGTCATGGGCCGAGCGCCTGCTCCAGCTGCCAAGCTGAAGCTTGCTGTGCTCCCTGCTCCTTTGTAAGGCATTAACCCTCCTCCTCTGGCCCTCTGTGTAGGTCTGTATGCTTTGTTCAGTAGGGTATCACCTGTTCTGCTGCCACCGCTCTGAGAAGACCAGCCGGCGCTGGATGGCCCTGGATTACGCAGGAATTTCCATCGGGATCCTGGGCTGCTATGTGTCAGGCGTGTTCTATGCCTTCTACTGCAGTAACGTGAGTCAGGAGCACGTGTCCTTGCAGGGTTTAGTTTGTGTGGTCTCACTGGAGTTTCTGTGCTGCAGGAAGTGGGGGGCTCAGTGCAGGTGTCCAAATAGAACAGGAGTGGGGAGACACAGGGATGGGAACTGGAACACGTCCCTCTGACGCCAGCAGAACTGTGCCGGCTGAAGAGACAGGCAAATGCAGGTTTCTCCTTTCCAACTGTTAATTGTACCAGCCTCAAGAAAATATTTAAATTTCTCTCAAGGCAGGGAAACTTTACAGGTCCAACCTGTATGCAGTGCCTGATGCTGATCATGGGATGTGTGCCATCAGAGATACTTTATTCAAACAGCATTGTCCATGAGGTAGCTGCTATGAGGCAGAAACAACCTTGATTCTCTCCATCTAACAGAGGATGAGTAAATGAATTCCCTCCAAAGGCCTGCCGTGGACAAGGCTGTCCAGGACCTGAAGTGGGCTGGTGAGGCACAGGTGCACTGAAAACATTTGGTGCAGGAAGTGCTTGGAGTAAAGGATGTGGTGCTAGGGGTCCCTGAGAAACAGTCCCTTCCCTTCAGTGCCAGCAGACAAACACAGGGCCCTGCACTCTGACCCACTGCTGGTGCTCGCAGCAGGGACAGAGTGAGCTATCACTGTGCTCAGTCACTGAAACTTTCTGCCCAGAGCTGACTTTTGCATGTGATAAGAAACCCACAAACTTGCCTTTGTTTCTTTTTGCCCTCAGTACTGGCGCCAAGTGTATTTGATCACTGTGCTGGCCATGATCCTGGCAGTGTTTTTTGCCCAGATCCACCCCAGTTACCTCACACAGCAGTGGCACAGGCTGCGCTCTGTCATCTTCTGCTCCGTGTCTGGCTATGGAATCATTCCCACCATCCACTGGGTTTGGCTCAATGGCGGCGTTGGTGCATCCATTGTACAGGTAAAAAAAAAAAAAAACCGGAAATAAGAGTCCCTTTTGCTTTTCACGTGCCATCTTCCTTGAGTCCTCTTACTCTTGGGATAACAACAGTGAAGCAGGAGAAGTTAAAATTCCTCTAAGGACAGCGTTCTTTTGGTCGGTATTATCCAAATGGGAACACTGAGAAATGTGTTGAGAGCGGGGTAGACAGCTTGGGGAGCTTCCTTGTGCTGTGCTGCCCTAAAGCTGCACGGTGAGAAGGCAAGCACAGTCCAGGTGTGTCTGTACCTGGGCATGGAGCAGCCGCTGCGGGCAGACCGCACCCTCAGCAGGGCTGGGGGCCAGGAGCTGAGGTGGCTGTGGAGCACGAAGGAGCCTGTCAGGCTGCATGAGTGCTCAGGGCTGGCTGCCTCCACAGCTCCAGAGGGCAGCCAGGAGACACTGGGATGATAAGATGATTATTTGTCTCCTCCTCTGTTCCCTAGGATGGCAGCAGAAATCAGGATTTACCTGCTCAGTCCTCTGTCTCCTACACAGTCCTCCTGTAACAGCTCTTTCATGTTACTGTTTTCCTATTTGTTTCACTGCTTGGAATTACACTGTGAAAGCAGCAGCCCAATATAGCTAAAGGCAGTGCAGTGTGCCCCAGTATGAACTACCCTGAAACCACTGCAGTTACCCAGGAACACCTGATGGTGCTGAAGGAAATGCTTCCTTTTGACAGTGAGCACAAACGGCACACGGCTGGGCTGGGCTGGCCTGGATGGATGGCTCTCCCCTGGGGTGAGGGTACAGCCTGGTCCAGAGCTGCTGTGGAATGTGGCAGAGCACCACTTGGAAATAGATGTGGCCTTTATACAGGACGTTTCACACTGGCCCTCTAGAATTCATTAATAGCCGTTATGCCCCCACACTTCCCTGTTTGGGTTCCCCTGCGATAGCAGGATGGTGTCTAGGGTACACATTTTGTTTCCATACTTCAGAAAAGTGACCTACTTTTGGTAACAAAACTGCTAACTAAATGCACCTGGTGACTGATTTGCTGGTTTTTGACCACCCAGTGTGAGCAGCCCTATAGGCTCAGGTGCTGCAGCTATGATCCCAACACAAGGGGATATGCAGTGCAGTGTCCCCCGCCCTGGCTGTTCTGTGCAGGGTCAGGGAGTGCCAGGTGACCTCTCACAGGCAGATGCTATGTCTGCTGTCCGCTGAACTGAGTAGCCTGCGTGTAGAAGCAATAACATTAAAAAATGGAATAAAAGAGATTTCTTCCCACTCAGGCTTTCCCAAAGTTAGGCTTGTGTGTCCCTGTTGGATTTGTACATAGCTAGCACAGGCAGGGAAGGAAGATTCGATGCTGCCATGCCTTTTCTTTCTTTATCTTTAGGGACTTTTTTTCCTGCTTTTGCCTTCTGACAGGAGAGCTTCCTTTTCTTTTGCAGGAGTTTGCTCCCCGCGTATTTGTCATGTACTTCATCGCTGCTGTAGCTTTTCTCTTCTATATTTCCAAAGTTCCAGAAAGATACTTCCCAGGTAGGAAATTCTCTTCTGGCTGGTTTGTTTTTTCTTTCTTTCCTGCAGTTAAGCTTCCTAGAGTGTCACAGTCCTTGCTGTGGGTCCTGAACTTCCTGGGAGAGAACAGGCTGACCATGTTCCCATGCAGTGTTCCCACACAGAGTAAAAGAATAGGAAGAGGCAAACAACTTCCATCAAGTTCGTTAAAGAGCTTTCCCTGTCAGCCCTCAAGGGCAGGGTATGGCAGAGCTCTGCAGGAGACATACTGCTGATTGCACTGCACATGCTGTGGCCGAATTTAACAGCTGGACTCCATGTCCCTGTTTTCCCCCACAGGCCAGCTGAACTACCTCGGCTCGAGCCACCAGGTGTGGCACATCCTGGCAGTGGTGATGCTGTACTGGTGGCACCAGTCCACAGTGTACATCATGCAGTACCGACACAGCAAGCCCTGCCCCGAGTACAGCGCGGACTTGTGAGCCAAGGTACGGCTGCTGCCATCCTCGGGGAACAGGATTCTCTAACCACAGGCTTCAGGAATCCTGGCCTGAACCTCTGGCTGCCGCAGAGTGGGTCCTGACTGGTGGAAATAAAAAGCAGGATGCAATGGCAGGCATCTGCTCACCTGTGCTGCTGCAATGGAAGAGGCTCTGTGGAGGGGCTGGACTTAGCCCTGCCAGATCCCTTGCAGCTCAGTGTCACAGTCATAGTAGTCTCAAACCATCTTTAGTACTTGTCCTTAAGTAGCCTTTTCGTCAGGCTTTTGTCAGGTTTTCAGTCTGCTTAGCAGCGATCGGGATGTTGTGGAAATCTGACAAGTTGCCAACTACAGATGCACAGTGATTTACGTAATTTCCCTGCTCTATTTCAGAGGAAGCACGAGAGGATTTGTGACTCTGAGGGTCTGGACCTCATGTGATGACCTGTGGTGTCAAGGACTGAGGCAGTTCCTTTCCTGACCCCTGAACTGTTACTCCGTGCTGGGACAAAGTATTACTGCAAGCTTTGATAAACACTGCAGCACTGCCTGGGACCTGAGGGGCATTTTCTTCTCAGCCAGTTCCTGCTCTGCAGTCAAGTACCAAGCAGATTTTCCTGGAGTGGGACAGCAGGAGGCTGAGCTGACTTGGCATGCAGATCCTAGCAGGATGTTCTGGTGCCTGGCAAACAGAAACAGCTCAGCTAAGGGTACTCAGGCCTGGACACCAGGTTTGCAGGGGTGTGCACAGTTCGAAGAACACTTCTGACAGCATGCCTGTTAAATTGTAGCAACTGTGGGAGCCGGTCCTGGATCCAGAGCACAGCCCTGTGGGCTGCACATCCTTCGGCCTGTGTGTGCAAGATGTGCTTATGCTTCAGCGTTGGCACAGGAACATATGAACTGGAACGCAGTGGATTTGTCCTGCTCCTGACGAGCTCTTTCCCATTCCCCTGGGAGATAAGATCACATTACATCCAGCACACTTACATCTCCACTGCAGACCTTGAAAATAGCCTCCCCCAAGGGAGGTCGTGCCATTGCTTGAAGGAATTTCTCTAGCCAGTAATCTGGAATCAGTATTCCAAAATATTTCAGGAGTAGCACTAAGCCTGCGTGTCCATGGTTGTTGCTGTTTCACAATCAGTGACCGTGCTGGGGATGCAGATTCCTGACCTTTGGCCTTTCCCTGTATGCAGCATGATAACTGCACTCACAGACAGCGCTGCCAAAGGCCTTCCTGCCACAACCCTGCCACAACGCAAAGGCTGGCCGGAGTTCCAGCGTGTCTTGTGAACCATCTCCTATTAAATGAGCACCAGAGAGCCATGAAACACACGGGTTATTGCAAAGCTGCAGCCCAGCACAGGCTCCTGGGCTGCCAGTCTTCCAAAGAGCATTGAAATCCTCTGCACTTGCGGGTTAGAGGCAAGGATGCTGTTGGGACTGATCCTAAGGGGCTGTGTCCTTGTGGAGAGTGACTTCCCCAGGGCAGGCAGGCTCTGGTAGTTGCACAAAGCTGCCTCTCCCTGGGCTAAGGCATTGGAGCAGGACTTGGTTTCTGGTCAGGATGTGCCAAGGAGACGTAGAGTGGAGGTAGAAGCTTACAGAGAGGCATCGAGAAGGCAGGATACAAACTCCTCCTGATGTACTGGACAGGGATGCTGACTGGACAGGTCTGTTTAGGTCAGAGGGTGGTTCTGGTGCTTTTTTGTTGTTTTAACTCCAGAAACAAGCATTGGCAAAACTGACTCTGCGTTAATGATTCAGCTCCCAGTGCTTTAAGCCTTTCAGTGAAAACACTGATTTTTTAATGATTTTTTTTTTTAACTTGACAGCCAAGCAAGTTTCAAGTGCACTAATTACTACTACTGAAGCCTAACAAGGAACTTGCAAGTATAAAAGTCTGTTTCCAGTGTTATATGTACAGTAATACCTGAAGAATGTGTCTGTGCTCTGAAATAATACTGACTTTAGCACTCGCTAATGTATTTTTTTAATGGAAACTCTTAGCTACTTGAGCAGTTTTCACCAGATAAGGAAACTGATTGCCAAGCTGTGCATTTTTACCTGACAATTTATCAAGCTGCATGATGGTCTTTGATGTACATACTGAACCTATAAATAAATTCCAGTTCATTGGCTTTTTCCTTAGAGTAACATCATTCCTGCATCTCGTGCAGCAAAACAATAGCTGTCAACGGCTCAGCCATGGAACTTGTGCCACATCCTGTGGATTATGTAGACAGGGATTTCTGGGGGAGAAACTCTAGCTGAATTTGCTGATGAACTCAGCTTTATTAACAGAGGCCTGATGCTGCTTTTTCTGTTCTTGACCATTTCCATTTTTACTTCAGCTCACCCAAGAGGAAAATCAGTACAAGAAGCATTTCAAAAACCTGCTCCAGTAAACAGCTGCAGGAAGGGGCTCACAACACATTATAGTTCTTTCCCGAAGTGCAGAGCTCAGTCCAGAGCAGCGGCATCGGGAACCGTACATGACCTTTCTGCAGGAAGGCTTTAAGGAGTAACACTGAACCAAAGGAATTCAAAGTAACACGTGATCCATAGACATTGAACCAGCTGGACACAGCGAGGTGATTGGGCAACAGATACAAGTACTTAAAACACTTCAAACAAGAGTCACAGGTGTTTACAGCTACAAAATCATTCAACAGCAGCAGCAGCACTGCTTACAATAAATAAATGAAAGCTTACACACGAATACTTCACAATGCAGTGTTGAAGAGACTTGCAAAGGCACTGTTACCAGGTTTGTTTATTTAACAACTCCAAGGATTTTATGATATACGTCAGCTTCACAAAAAAAGTTAAAAGTTCTCACTTTAGTAGTACACAAAAAAGCTTTAGAAACTCCAAGTCTAACAAGAAATGGAAGTGTAGTTCAGGCAAGTGCACTTAAAAGCTGAATGCCAGCAACTTTAAAATAGTTTTTATGCTCTTTAATACTAGGTGATGCCTCAGTCACAACTTTAGCCATACACACAATCTCTTGATTTCCTTTCAAAATAAGCGCAATGGAGCAGTAACACAGCAGCCACCCTTGGTGCTCAACTCATATTCACTCAAATCACGAACATGATTGTGGCTGCTGGGTTACCGAAACCACAGCAACTCCAAGGGGTACGTGATGTGTGCGAGCATGTGTATATTTTATATATACTTATATATATAAAAATACACGATATAGTAGAAAAAACTCCAGATAAACTTTTATTCTCACAGTAGCAAATATATCAACTTATTTTCACAGTACTTGGTTTTACTAACTGGGACACCCAGAATGATTATAAGCTTTTTCCTCCAGGACTGTTGCTCACAGAGCCCCCCGCCACACACAGGGCAGCCAAAGCATTAATGACATTAATTACACACCTCAGGGCCCTTGGAGTCGGCAGACAAACACAACTACCTGTTTTTTCTTTCTACACATGGCCACAACCACTAAGGGCTTCTTAGTACCTTGGGACAGACGCTTTCTCCAGCAGCTGATCCTAGGAGGCCTGTGCTTCAGTCCCTCAGCATGCTTAAGGAGAAGCTGTAGAAATCCATTGGGATTTCTGTCTGGAAGGGAAGTGTCAACCCCTTACCTTGCCCTCTCGCTACCACAGGCAGCATGTACTTGTCTACTGCAGCAAGGGCTTTCCTGATTCCAAGGGAGGTCACATGGCACTCCAGACACCCTGAAAAAAAGACAAAGGATATCCCACTCCCTGACAGTCCCATATTTCACCTCCTTTAATAGTGGCTGAAAATAACCCCAAACTTGGGTTCAGCTGTGTATAAACTACATACACCAGGCAAAGTCAGCTTAGCGTGGTGCACCCATCTCCCATGGACTACGAGAAAGGATAGAAGAAGTAATGCTAAAGAAACAAAAGTTACATTTAAGCAAAAACCTGACTGGTGTCTTGAGTACGAAGAACCAGGTTTGTTAAGGCCATTAGGAGGCAAATATCATGGGCCATAATTCGTGCCAGCTCTGGAGTCCCAGGGGTCTGATCTCTTCCTTCAGCTCTGCTGTGCCGCAGTGTAACTGCATACAGGCCCTCTGCCAAACCCCCCGCAGCACCCCCCAGCCTGGGGTCCCGAGGTAAACCAACAGCATGAGAGCACATCTCCCATTTCTAATTTACCTGATCCCTTCTGCGACACTGGGTGTGCTCCCTGCATGTCCGACGGCCCCACCTCTCCTCACGGGCCCTGGAGCCAAGCACCAATGCCATGTGCATCCTTAACCCTTCCGGTGGCTTTCCCACTGGGAAGGCAGCAACAGCATGCCTTTGGTGAGGGCCAGCGACATTTAGGACCACAGTTTTCATCTCATTTTGTGTCCACCTCACTCCGTCATTTGCCATCTCACCCTATTCCAAGAGCACTTCAGGCAGCTAACAGCTCTGAAGGACATGGAGAAAGGCAGCTCATAAGCATGCACAGAGAGGGGGGGGGAAAAGGAGGAAGACCGTTAACCTGAGTGTCAGAAATGCTACAAAAATTGGCATGTGCTTCTTGCAGCCTTTGGCACCAAACAGGTGCGAAGAGCAGTAATAAAGCCTGCAAAGTCCTGTGTTGAAACATTTCTACTCCATCTCCTAAGGGCTTAACTTCTAAGCCTGGAAAAGGCACACTGAAGCAGGCACAGCTGGAATATTCCGCTTACCCTGTGAGAAATCAAAGTGAGGAAGATGAAGGTAGCAGTCTGTACACCATCACTATGAGCTACATTCAGATTCCAGGGCTAAGGGAAGCAATCTCACCGACATTCTAAGGGGCATTTTCTCAAACGGATCCCAAAGGACTCACGTGATTTGTTCTCAACGTGTTTTCCGGAAATATTGTAAGGGACCAGCAGGAGGCGTCGGGGGAAAAGAGCTCACAACCCTGAATATTTCACTTCACCCATCAAGTCAAACACAAACAGTGCTGTCCTCCATGTGCAAACACCCAGCTACCTACTCCTCAGCCTCCAGTGGAGCCGGACAACGAGCTGAGACAAGCCGAGGAGCCACCTCCTTCCGTGTCCCCGTGGGGTGAAATGCAGCTCAGTGGTCCGGCAGCCAGCAGCTTCTGCTGGAACACAGCTGGGGCAGGAAGCATCTCCAAAGCTCAGTGCATTTAGCAAACCTTGAAAGAGCATTAGGTTAAAGTCATTTCACAAAACTGTTGTGGTGAAAAAACAACAGGTTTGAGAGAATACACATTTTCTTTGCAATAAAAATCCAAGAGGAAAACGAACACAAATCCCAATCTGCAATCAAATCAATCCAAGGGTTGTACCTCACAGTCAACTCCATAAGTCATCTGAAACTCTCCATATGTGCTCAAGGACAGCCTCTCTTCCAGTGTGCTGAGGAGTCTCCCAAGTGCTGCAATCCCAGCCACAACCCTGCTGGGTCACTCCCCTACACATTCAGGCTTCTCACAGATCAGTAAATTATCTGCTTCTCGAGTTTTCACTCTACATTTCCAGTTTGCTACTTTTCATTAATGGCACTTACTATAAAAACAATACTTAAAAATTGAGGCACACAAAAAAAATGCCTTTAATCTCTGCAGCTGCATAGATGTCTGCAAGGTCCCAAGCCATAGCTGTGCTCTGGAACTGTGGGCCACAGCCCCTTGAGGATGTGGCTGCTTTATTTTTATGATTAATAAAGGTAGTTTTCACCTAGGAAGCAAAGACTTGGCTATTTCCAGCACATCATCTGGATACCAGTATGTCTCGGTTCTTAGGTCTGAGACACGATGAAGCACCGCAGTTCTTCAGCCCCCCGTACATATGGAAAACATTTTCCACGTGCTCCCTGCCTGTTCCACTCCACCGAGGCACATGGTAGAGGGATGGAAAGGCAACACCAAAGTGCTCAATGACAGTACATCCCAAGGCCCCAAGTCAGTGACAGGGATTTGTATTCAATTCCTCGTTTCATTCTGGGAGCTATCTGCCATAAGGAAACAACACTCCCGAGTTCTCTTTTTTTCTGAAAAAGACCCAGATCAGAATTAGCCATTACTTGCAACTCCAACATGCACACAGGCCGCTGCCTCCTCAGTCTGAGCAAGCTGTACAACCCCAGCCCCTGGCATTTCAGCCACATAAATTACTCCACTAAACCTTTATTAAGGGGCTTGGAGAGGTGGAGTGGGGGGAACTCATCGGAAGCCTCTACTGCTTAGAAGGGAAGGGAGCTGCTCCAAAGGGATCTGGCTCCAGTGCCTGCTGTGGTTGGCTCTGTGTGCTCTGAACGACCAGCTCTGTGAAGGGCACGGCACCAAAGTCATCTGTTTTCAGCCCGTCCCCACCGTGACCGGCGCCGTGCAAGGAGCTCTGCCTGGGCCTGCCAGCCACCACCACTGTGCCATGGTCCCCACAGCCCTGGTGCTGGGCGTGGCGCATCAGCTCCGGCGGGTGGAAGGGCTTGGCTCCGAAAGGATCCAGCAGCGTCTCGTCTGTTTGCAAGGGGTTGGCTCGATCCTTGCTGTCTGTCAGGGCCACACTGATGTTCTCCTTGGAGTCCGAGATGGTGAGGAACTCGTTGCTGCTCTGGGAGTCCCTGCGGCCGGCCTTCCTGTGCCGGCGGGCGCGCTCCGGGGTGCGGTAGCTGGGTTTCAGCCCCTTCTTGCTGGTGGTGGGGGTGCCGTGATGGCGCTTCCCGTTGTTCTTGGACACCTCCTGCTTCATGCGCCTCTGGCGGGAAGACAGTTTCTGCAGGCTCCGCTGCTGCTTCACCTTCTGCTGCTGCTGGCTCCCTGTGATCTCCTCGAACGGAACCAGCCCAAACACATCCTCTCTACTCCCAGCAGACCTGGGGAGAAGGGACGGCTGAAACGGGGTGCAACCAAAGATATCCACGCCCCGTGGGGAGGTGGGGGAGAGCAGAGGCTCCATCCCTGACCCCTGCCCATCTTGCTGGGGCACCTTTTTGCTGAAAGGAGCTTTTATGAAAACATCAAAGTCATCCTGCTCTTGGCTTAGGCTGGAAAAAGCCACCTGAGAAGAAACATCTTTGTCCATCTTCTCTCTTGCCTGAGGCTGCAGAGTGAAAAAGGGCACAGCTCCAAACACGTCAAATTCTTGGCCAGAGTTGATCAGAGTGCTTGGCACCTCAGGCGGGGACATAGGCACTGACGTGCGCTCTGTGATCTCACTGCTGCCCATACTGTCTCTGAACCGAGTGCTCGGGAGCCCTTCCACACATTTTTGCTTGCTTCGGTCACAATCAGAATCAGAGCTCTGCTTTTCTTCCTCCTCTTCTTCCACCTCTTCCTCAGAATCCATGAGGAGAGGTCGGTGGCCTAAATTCTCTGGCTCTGTATCATTGTCATCATTGAAGTCTCCATTCTCTCCATGCAAGACTTCTTCATCATCCTGTTCTTCTTCTTCCTCACTGCTCTTAGGAGAAGGAGGATCAGACTCGAAATCACTCTCTGAGTCCTCACCACCTTTTGTCACATGTCCCTCTGCACTTTTCCTCCCTGCCCGGGGATCTCTAAATGCATGGCTCAGTTTTCCAGACTTTGTTGGGGTCTCTAAGTTATTTCCTTGATTGCTGGCTGCGTTATCCACTTGTTTTCCAGGGGAACCTGCAGGTCCAAAGAAAAAAGCAAATGAAAATTAAAAGCATACTAAGGCAAACCTTACTACATACACCCCACAGCCACACATCCCAAAGATATATCCAGCACTTAGGGAGGGAAATGACCTAAAAATCACATGTGACATTTCAAACAACACTCATGAAATCGACAGAGCTGCCAGCTTTGCTTCTAACGCACAAGGCGCCTGGAAATACAGTACCGGTATTTGGAGGGTATACAGAAGTGGCTAATGGACACAGCTGATCTCTAGAGACACCTTTTCAAACCCAGACATTTTACAGCCACTCTTCACCCATCACAGGAAACGGGAGCTAGCAGGATTTAAACAGTTTAATTTTTGCTTTTTTTAAAAAGCAGACAAGCTATTTTTTTCATGTGACTCTGCTTTGATAGTCCGCTCTGACAAACAACGCTCTTATCATGAGACCAGCTCCTTCTAATTTCTGCAGCAACCGAGGCACAACAGCCCCTGCCTGCTTTGCCTTAAGTTTGAGAGCAATGCTTTCTGCATTGTGTCTACATGCAACCTGTCAACTCAGCTTCTCGATGGCAAGGAAATTCATCTACTCATTTTCCTCTGCCAGCTTCCTTCCCACTATTCACTGACAACTAGTACTGACAGAACAATACACTGAGAAGTCCTCTGTGGTGTGGTTGCCTTGGGAACACTGAAAGCAGCAAAAATTTTGCAGCAGTAAAAAAAGGACGTGGCAGGGGAGGCTGCACCCAACCAAAACCTATGTCCTCCACTTAGGGATTTGTTACACACTGACATTTAACTCACTCCATGTGTTCAAAGGACTGAAAAAGCTAATAGGGATGGCTACAGGCATCTTGTCTTTCTCCAAAAATCATCTTCAGCCAGAATCCAGCTCCTAACTCTTGTTCCTGCAATATTCAAAGTATTTTCTCAGCTAATTCCTTCTTTCACAGGGAAACGAGCACGCAATTTCCAGGCCAAGTCAGGTTCTTTTCTTTCCATGCTCCAGTTTTACGAGAGCCATTTCTTCAGTTTTTAAAGGGAAATAACACCGATTTCCTCACTCCTTTGCAGTTACAGTTAAAATAATCAAAATTCAGCAGTAATACAATTTATGTAAGGATTTAAAAACAAGATGACCAGAATGACTAAAAACATCAGGAGACGAGGGCTTGGAGCTGTTTCTTCTTGCCCTCTGGTGTCAGATTGCTTCTTATCTACTGTAATTTTAAATGCTACATATTTACTTTACCCACTAAATTAGAATCTGGATTATTCTGCTGCTTACTTTAGATTTCCCAAAGGTACAGCCTTCACATTGCACTATATAAACCCCCTAGCCTCCAAATCCTTCTGTTTCCAATATTTAAAGGAACACTAATGTTAGCATAAATGCAACTAGATTTAAAAGAAGAAAAAGGGACTACTTCTAGGTTAGATGTTAACAACATGTACACAACAAAAGGCCCAAACCTTTTCCCTGTGTTGATATCCACAGGAGTTTATAGTTTTGCAGAACAGTTAGACCTGTGCGCTTAATCTCAATATGCAGTAAACAACCAATAAAGCAATTTTTGTTTCAAGGAAGAACTGAATCACAGTGCTATCTAATACATCTGACTTCCTGAAAGGTTTAAATATTATTTGCTAAGTGCTGCCACAGCGAGAGTCCCTAGAAAACCAAGTGCAGCAGGCACTGATGAGACAGAACACTGGAGCTCCACCAAGAGCAGCTGAGGTGGCCTACGGGGCTGTCTGAGGCACACGAGGTACACTGTCAGCCCCACAGCTCTCCAGACAGATGGCACAGCACAGAGGATGTTCCCCACAGCACGCTCCGTGCACTGGCACCCCGGCTGCTCCAGCACCCCCACAGACCCACCTGTTATTCCTAACTGGGATTCCTGCTGGCAACACACAGCACATCGTCTTGGCAATCAGGCACCAAAACAACCCAGCCTTTCCACCCTAAGGTGTCCTCTCTTCAGCCTAACAAGGGCAACCTCCAGAGGAACTCGGATGAAGCCAGGAACAATTGACTGAGCAATCCCTCTTGGTGGAGACATGCATCCACAGCAACAGAGAAGTCAGAGAAGTGTTTCCCCCCTGGACCCGGAGCTCTGAACCACTCTTCAAGGAAATGCTGAGCACCTTCCTGGCTGACAGAAGCAGACACAGAGGAAGTGCTTGAATAGCCAGTAAGAACACCAATAGTTTGATGTACATGTTGATTTCTACTTTGCCCATAGCAGTCTGTCCTGGCCCCAGTCCCTTCTGGGGGCTCTTGCTCCACTGAGGCCAAGGCCATGGCATGCTGGACATAGCACACACCAGCCTTTGTGCTGGCAGTGGACAGGAAAGGAAAGCTTAAGGTGTGGATTTGTAAACGTCTGTCCCTGCACGTGAGAAAATGTTGTGCAAAATGTCTTAATTTTGAGGCCACTCATAGAGACAGCAAGAAGAATTTTTGCCGTTCTAACACCATCACTGCACAGTCAATAACTGCATCTCAGCTCAGCAGTGGTTTCTGAGGAAGGTTTCCAAATTTGTAGCTCTTCAGCTGAGATTGCTCCTTCTCCAGTCTCCTTGCCAGAGCTACCGATGTGACTTGCTTAACGCAGCAGGAAACCAGTGCCTGGGAATTACCCAACAGTGACTGGAAACTCAAAACCTCCACTAAGAGCTTTCTATTATCAGAGTTGCAGAGCCAGCCCATATGACCCTTCATTGACAATGTCACCTGGAAAGCAGGTGGCACACAGCAGATGACACTGTGAACAGCAACTGCTCCCAATATGCGGGTTTGAAGAAAACACTTTTACTCCAAGGAGTATTTCCAGAATGGTGACATCACTGCTCCCACACTGGAGCGTGTCAGCAAAGAACAAGTATCTTCCTTTCTCCTTCTGTGTGTGTTGAGGTTAGAAATAACCAGGGCCACCTGCTCCAAGCAGAAACTAGTTTAAAATACTCATGTTGCACTTTTAGCCCTACCTGGCCAAGCCTGAGGGAAGAAACCATCAATGCACCCACCTTGGCAGATGGAGTGGCTTCAGGTTAGCCCCAGGAACAGGGATAAAACTGCATCAGACAAATATCAAAACCAAACCAAAAAACAGAAATATCCTCCCTAGAACTATCATGTTTCAAACTAAGATAGGAATAGTTTGATCTTCAACACTACAGTTGCCCCCGTTTAACTGCAAATGAAGTTAGCAAGTGAAATAAAGAGCACTATACACAGAAACAATCCCCAAAAGGCAAAAGCCCCTGCTTACTGACAATTGAATGCTCTGGCCAAACAGATTTCCAGACTCAAGTGTTGTGTCATGTTGATTTCATGCAGTCTTGTCAGGCTGCACTGCTGCAGACTTTCAGATACACATCCATACAGCAATGCTGCTGCACACTGGTGGCAACATCTGCTTGCAATGTGCTGCTCAGATTACCACACTTCTAATCAGGTTTGCAGCTTGTAGGGAACAATTTTCCTTTGCTCAAATGCGAGCCAGGTGGAACATCTTTAATCATATAAGAAGATCCCAATCTTCCAGGAAATTTTCTGTCCTGATGTTCTTTTCTGAGACAGAGGATTATTAATTAAGGATTATTATTAAGAGGATGAATTCCCTCCAACAACTGCAGTAATTACATGCCTTCTGCTGGTTCCTCATTTTAGGGTATCGCGGGGGTAGCCCAAGAGTGCAGCATAAGAGCTTTAAGCTCCCTTGGAATTGGGAACATACTGCCACCATCATTTCATAACAATTTGCCACATGTCAGCCCAGGGATTACCAGCAGGCTGCAACTAAATCTGCACCAGTTCTCTGGCAACAGCTGCGCAACACTGTAATGGATTTACACGTCTTACCACCTCTACTTTCAGGAGCAACAAAAATGGAAGAACACCACACTTGTGGCCTGGCACCTATTGCTGACTTTCTTTTAAATAATTACTCCAGTGATTCAAGGGCAATATAAAAAAAATAGTGCAACATGCCCATGGCTGCTGCAAGATTTGAAAAAACTTGTAAAAAAAAAAAAAACAGATCATTTTGGAGAGAAATGGGTGAACAATTTCAGGTTACTTAGAAGTGCCATCTAGAACAGCTGAAGTTTAAGATGATCTTGATACAGGGAAGTATCCTGAACCTGCATTCAGCAAGCACTATGAATAACAAACCACAGCAAGCAAGGTACAGATAAACATCAGCAAAGCTTTCTACAAACACAGATATTAACAAGAACTTACTCTGCCAAGTTACCTAAACCTGAAATGCTTTACAACAGCCAGATCACTGCACGGGTCTGGGCATCTTTAAACAATCAACATCAACTGTCCAAGAAACATGAACTGTTGGCAGGAGCATTTTTCAAGTTCTAAAAGCAGCTCAGTCTTTTTTGTTTCTTCTGGTCTGGTGTTAATCACTTCTTCTTAAATTCTAGGAAGCTGTGTCTCACCTAAAGGCCCAGACTGCACAGCAGTCCCAGGTACAGAACTTAACACTGGTTTAAACCCTGTTTGAAGCCATACACAAAAACGACTGAATGCATGATCATCCCCCCCCCCCGCATGTCAATGCCTGCCAGGACATCACTGTGACATGGTGCACATCCAGCAGCACCTACTGCAGCAGGGGATTGTCAGGGATGTGTCCAAGGCTCTGGATGATTCCCATGGCACTGCTGTCCAGAACACGGCTGGCTGGTGTTCTGCAAGATGCACACAGCTAGGACAATACACAGCACACCACAGAGCCTCTCTTATTCCAAGAGAGACACCTGCAGCCACCATTTGACTCTGCCACGTTGCCGAGTGTGGGAAGCCTGGAAGTCAGAAGGAAGTTGCTACACAACTGGACTCGCTTTTATTCAGTCTCTGCACACAGAACAGGCTGCAGTGGCTCGGAAGGGGTTACCCATGGAGGCTACAAAAACCAAGTGACTTGATCACATCCACAGCACACATGATCAGTACAACATTCAGCAAAACTGTTAGCGAGATGACCTGAGATAATAACAAAGGGGATTACAACACAAGCTGGTTATCACACACTTGAATCAAAAACTTCCATTCCAAAATGCTGACTACGGGAGATGTTTTTTCTACTGTCACCATCCAGTTCAGGCATTCCAGAACCAGGACCTGTTTTCCACATGTGAAGTGCCTAAGTGCCCCAGTGCTGGCTATTTCATTCTTCTGTCTTTTCTCTCTTTCATTAGAAGTTTGCAACGTAGGGTTTGTTTCTGTCAGATCAAGCACTGGAATTATTTCCCAGCCCAAGTTTCTTCTCCAGTCATCTCAGGTCTTAGGGCACTACAGTTTTCCACAAAAACTCAGGCATAAAGTAGTGTGTGTAGCAAGTTCACTTGTGAGAATGCTTTTAATAGGATACACACCAAGGGAGAGAGACACCCAGAGCTCCCACAGTTCTTCCTTATTCCCCGTACTGAGAGGAACCCAACACCCGTGAGCTCATCTCACACCCCTTTCCCTCTGTGCACACCAAGGGACACAAGTGGTGCTGCTGGCTCTCCATTCCCACTAGATAAAAACAAGCACAGGAGGTCTAACAGACAAGCAGCTATAGTCCATCCAGTTCCAGGTTTCTTCTCCTGGTGACCCTTGCAGCAGTGCCAGCCTGAAATGCACTCTCAGCTCCACAGGGAATGTCCCAAGTGACAGCAGCCCATGGACTGCCAGCGATGATGGAAGGTTTCCAATTGCAGCCTCTGCTGCTCCCTTGCCTCACCTTCCCAGCCACGTGACCATACCTGGTGACACTTACTTTGCCAGATTACCAGCACTCCATGTCGGCGAGTCGAAAGGTGACACGAGATATTCATCATGTTGCTGCTCTCTCTCAGGAGGTGACAGGAGCCAGTTAATTACTGAGTGAAGAGCTGCTCTCAGCAGAAAACCCTTCAGCCTCCAAAACAGGAGCAATCCTCTGGGTGACTCAACTCAGCCACAGCCCACATACACAATTTAGACATCAATCCTATGCCAGAGCAAGGAAAACCAGGCAGAAAAAACCCAACCAGCTGTGGTCAATACAGTAGAACACAATTTCAGTAAAAACTGTCACTTTTCAAGAAAGTTAATTTTATTTACTTCAAAGATGCTGTGTTTATAAGGTCAACATTTCATCTCATGGTAATCCAACAAGTCAGAATTCAGCGGCCAGAGCCCTGGGCAAACAGTGCTAACACACTCCCCATTTGGCCTGAGACACGTTACAGGAAGGAAACTAAACTTGTGCTTTAACAAGATCCGACAGTCTCTCCCACAAACACTGGAATTGCACTCAAGATATTAAACCTCTCTTCCATTTGCCAAGCAATCACTTGCCCTTGGGTGCCCTGAGTAAGGGTTTACTTCTCAGTTACACATTTCACAATCACAAGGAACAAACTGGAAAGAACATGCCACACAGCAGTGTTAAGTACAAGTGTTAATCAAAATATTAGGAGAGACATGTGTCAAGTTTGTCCCAGAAACCCCTCAGCTAGAAATTAAATATGTCCAAGTCAACAGCTTTGTCCTTTTCTTAACTGTCTTGCAATACCTCTTCTCAAGACATGACCAGTCTTGGTCACAAAGAACAGTTCAGAGGGGAACTCAAACCAGCTTTTAAAAGATGAATATTAACACTGAAATATTTATTGTACCTGATTTGTTTACTAAGTGCAATCCACAGTTAACACATAAATAACAATACCTCTCTTGAAACCCAGACAGTACTTACTCTTGTTTAAACATCAGTCCCAAGTCCACAGGAAAAAAGGCTATTGAAAAGTGCGTGATTTTTTTCCCAGTGCCACAGTTATCAGTTCACAACCAGCTCAGCATGTCTCAATCAGCCTGGTTTTTCAGTCATGACTTAATCTCAGGTGATTTTTCCTCTCCTTAACGGAAGCAACACTTTTTTTGTTGTTTTTTGGGGGTTTTTTTCCCCCTTTTTTTGTTTGTTGTTTTGTTTTTTTTCAGTATGTCAAGAATTAGAGCTTGGATTCCAAGTAACAAAAATGAAGCAAGCGATACAATACAGTGAGAACATCTGTTACAATCTAAAGCTGTACTATAGCCACCTACAAAACCCAGCAACAATCAAACACTTCCAAGATCTCAGGTGAAGAAAGCAATAAAATAACCTCTGGACACAAGGGTATGAATACTTGGCAGGAGACTGAGTACCTGATGATCTTAAATCAAGTGTAAACTATTCCTGTTCATTTTACATGTGAATTCAGGCTCTCCTATAAGTCAAAGCAACCTCTGGAATTGAGATGCCAGGGGAACCTTTCCCAACAGCCATCTGCAGAGCACACCCTTCTCCACTCAGATGGCTTTCACATGGCACTGAACTACAGAACATGAACAAGGTGACAAAGCAAACTTGTCCTGAGAGAGCAAAACAAAACCACAGACTAGGAACCCAGCGCTAAAGCAAGCAGAATGAATTCAGGTCTAGGGACAGAACCAGCCATGGGCACAGAGAGATTTTCACCAAAGGCTTTATAAACACAACAGTGTTACCCTGTCCACCCTTCAGCATGTGGAGCACTGGAGCACTAGTGAGCACTTGGCAGCCCTAGCAGACCATCTCCAGGAATGCATGATGAGAAAAGTGAAAGAAAACACAGATACTACCTTGGGTTGACCCCAGCTGATTTATTTTAAGGCATGTTACCTGAGCTTTTGAACTTCCATAAGAACAGTCGTTAAAAGTCATACTAAGGCACCTTAATCACACAAGTACTCACAACAAAACCCAAGTGACTCCCCAAGTGACTGAGGCTCCTTTTACCTTTCCACTATCACACAGGCTTTGTCAAAGGTACCAAAATAAATACTGAAGTGCTGATCAACCCAACGTTAAAACTGTTGCTCAAGTTGCAGGATGATGCAGTTGCCCACTCACAACCCCCACATAACATGTTATTTTTACTTCCATTCAAGGTAAACATAGAAAAAGCTGAATTGAAAAGCAATAATGAATGCCCATGCTCCCCATGTATGTAAATCTATGTAAGCCTATGTAAATGTTTGCATTTGACTCAACTTGTATAAAAACTGTGCATTAAATGCATAGAAGCTTACTGTCTTCACTTGGTTGGACAAGTAAACTATACAAACAGTGTGAGCCAGAAGCAGACTAGAGGGGAATTTGGCCTTAGCAAGGAATTTGCCTTCAGCAAAAGCACTTGTGGTTCTGTCCAGGTGATGCCCACTGCACTGGGCCAGCAGAACCACCCCCTACCCCAGTCTGTGCCAAGGCTCCACAGGCACCCACCAGGAGCTGGGTGCACAAGCGGCTTTAGTTAGAGGTAATGAACACACCCACACATCCCTTTAGCCCATGTGCTGTCAGGAGGTAGGCAAGCACTTGGCCATTCTTTGGTCACTGAACTGCTGTGCATACTTCAGCAGATACATACACACACCTACGGGAATGTATGCAAACAGCTACGAGGTAGTCATGTCACAGATGGAACTTGCCTTGCTGAGAAATGAAAGGAACTGAACCAAAGGGATCTTCAGGAGGACTTGTCTGTGGAGCAGCATGTGGCTCCACATTCTTATCTGAAGATGCTCTCCTGTCCACCAGCCTGTCTGTAAAAAACAAAATGAAACAGAACAAAAAATAAAGTAAAATAAAATAAAACCAGCAGGACTTAGACCTATGCAAAGCTATGCACTGTACAGGCTGAGGGAGGAATATCTTCCCTGGCAGGGGATTTGACAAAGAAAGGCCTGTAAGAAGCACAGCTCTTGCTTGCACAGCTGCTCTGGGCAGCTCTGTCCTACTGCAAGGAGACAGGCAGAGAGCCTGGGAGGCTCTGCACCCACACGTGTCCCTGCTGGAGCACCAGGGTGATACTGAGCCTTTGTGCACAGATAGGAAAGCTGGGCTGGGGAGCTTTTCCCAGTGAGAAAAGCAGACTCGCTTTCTTGGATCCCAGTTCTGCACTGATGATTAAGTGGTTACAGGAGCTGTTTAAGGAATCTACTTCTTCACAATGCTGTCAGAAATGCAGCATCAGATGTTGCTTCTGGCCCATCACTAACTGATGATCACAGCAACACCAACACGAGAGAACCAACAAGAGCCAGGAGCTCCAATCTGTCACTCTGTGCCACTGCTCTCCACAAAGGTGCTTAGTTCAGAAATGCATCCAATTGCACATAACCTTTTACTGCAACCAGCATCATTCTACTAGGAAAACACTCACCAAGTATAAGCAATGCATTGTGTCCTAGAATTTGGATCCCTTTTTACAAGAGAAGTGATTAATCACCCCAGCAGTACCCATCACTGCACACACTGACATGAAGCCCCTCAACACAGGACATCTGATGGTAATGTCAGCCAGGCAAACTGTGGCAAAATCTTCCTCCTCTAATAAAGGCTTTGTGTGTTTCCTTGGGCAATACTGGCATAAACATGTAAGCTTTAAAAATATTTGCCAGATTTAGAAACATCTTTAATTTATGTATAAAGCACCAGCTCAACAACACAAACTAGGCTTCTGGGAATGGAAAGAAAGGATTCATGTTTTGAACAATAGTCAGCACCACAAACTTACACACCACTCTATGTGAGTTATAAAGTACAGGACACCAGTTGGCTTTAGTAACAGGAAAATAGAACCACCGATCAAACCTGCATCTGCAATTCTCTTCTCTCTAGATGGCAAAAAAGTTACTTAGTATTCAACAGCCTTTTTCCCCCATAGGAGATAGCCTGCATCTAAAGAGAACTCAGCCTACAACCTTACTACATATCTAAGGAAATTCCAGTAAGTGTTGTGCAGTGAAAGACAACTTCATAGGTACAAGACTTCATTTTCCAATCCATCTCCTGATCTCTCATTATTCCAGCCAAGTCTTACAAAGTACCAGTAGACAACATGAGGTATAATGATTTTTGCTTTGACTGCAGCAAAAGCATTAACACTGCCAAGTACGCTCGCATGGTTTTGGCACAACACCTCGGTATGCAAAAGCCAAGTGAGGAGGTCTCTGAAGGCTGTGACGTGTGCACACACAGACACCAACCACCAGCGCTCCCCCTCCTTTGAGGGATGCCAAGCCCAGGAGCTCAGAGCAGCTGTAAGGCAGCCCATTCGTACAGTCAAGGCTGACATCTACTGTGCTGCTGCCAAGGGACTAATCTGAAGTTATTTTTGCATTTTCTCTTCCTGAGTGACTAAAATCCCTAATGCTGGTTACTACTGAGCAGAGCTGTGCTGTTGGGTTTAGTTTACTTCTCAGATACTGCATATCAAGTGTGCTATCACACTCAGCTCTCCTGTGCACTCAATAACCTTGAAGAGCTGAGCCTAAAATATACCTTGATTATCATCTTCTTTGGTCCTCGCATTTGTTCAAAACTTGTGGCTTAACCAAATCAATCTTGTCCAACTTACATAAGTACTGCCAACAGTCCAGCAGTCCCAGATTCTGGAATTGGGTGGTGGTGTGCTGACCTTTGGTAGAAACCAACCTGCTCCAGATTCACGAGTGTGTTACTCCAAAGGACTAAGGGCTGCATTTGGAAGGAGCATGTTTACACATAGTCAAATCTACTGCTGAATCAAATCCTTAACTTGGACTTGGAAGGAATGCCTCATTTCAACTAGTAGTACATAAGCCATTTTTCCCAGCTACCAGTGAGACATTTGACTGTAAAATGTGTGCAGGCTACATTCCCATCTCAAAAACAGGAGTATGATGCGATCCACACCGGATACAAGGGAAAACTAACAACTAGAGTTCCACAAACAAACCCACCCAATCACTTTCCTAAAGGACTAACAGGTAATGTGCAAATGCAGTAAGAAAATACTCAACTGAAGGCACAAGTATTTTTTCAGTTACTCGAATTCAACTTTACTGTACTTTTAATTGCAAGAAAATTGATGATAGACAGCCCAGCATATACAATCTGTCTTTTAACACTGTCACATCTTCCAAGTCCCACTAATAAATCTGATCTCAACAAAACCAGTTATAGGAAGAGCAACTAACAAGCATGTGTTCAGCAATTAAGAACAGAAAGTAATTCCAAGTAAAAACCATGGAGATAACTGACTTGACGAGGAAAAAGTTTATTCAACTATTGCCATATCAGTACAATAAACCAGCCCTTACATGTAGCCACTCAAAAAGGACAGTACAAAACATTAACATAATGTAATAGATCAATTTTCTTTCAGGCATTTTCAAAGGACATCTCAGACCCACAGAATCTTCTGCTCTGGTGCACAAGAAAAAAGCCGGAAAGGAATAAAGCAAGCAGCCAAAATTCTCTTCCCATCTGACAACATACCTGTGCTGTTGAGAGCCTCTTGGCAATGAAGGTGAAGCAGTGTAGAAGAGCTAAGGTACTACCATTTCTGCAGTATTTGAGCCAGTAACTACCAGTTTCAGATGGTGAGTTCCTATTGCACATGTTTGCAAAAAGGAAAAGGAAAGGAAGACAGGCCCAACTGTGCCCTCAAATGCTCAGAAAGAAGGTTCTGTACAAAGCCTACACGGTCCTTGGACAAGCAGGTGTTGGAACTGCTGAGCAACCACAGAGCCCTCATTTACTGGGAAGCAAAGTAAGCCTTCAAACGTCCCTTACTTGATCTTAGCAGGTCAAACTCTCTGTCCAGCAGCTCCTCCTCTGTCAACTTGGAAAAATTGTCCTCTCCAAATGGGTTCCAACCTGACATATCAGGTGGGTTACTGACGTTCTGCTTTGGGTAACTGGCAATGGCTTCAGCATCAGGAATACCTGACCTGGAGAGTCAGTTCAAGGAAGCAAATAAAAAGAGAAACACAACAGGATTGGTTATCGAGGTCAAAATCTGAGACATGCTTCATAATGCCAAGTCCTACACACAAGCAGCACATATGCCTTAAGAGCTCATCCCAAAAAATCTGAAGGCCAATTTAAAAGCAGCCTAACAGGAGCCTATAACAAATATATAACCTGGTTTCTAACATCAGTGAAACTGAACAGATCTGTAGGGTTTTTTATTTTTAAATCAGAAAGGAAAGGGATTTTTATTACACACACTGCTGTTCACAAGAATTAACTCAAAAGTCATCATTTATTACCATTTATTAAGCAAAAGCAGGTCCCAGGGCCACTGCTCAGGGACCGTATCTCTTCTGAGGTGTAGACCATGTTACATATTCAGGTGACACCCCTAAGCACAGGAGTTGGCAGCCCTAGCACATCAAGGCCAACTACAGAGCTGCTCTTAACAAGGTGTTTCAAACTCCTTTCAGATGCACATAACCTCATTGAACACAGTCTACTGACCATCCCAAGCCAAATGGCTGACAGTCAGTTCCTGGAGTAAGTCCATGAACAAGTTCCTGGAAGACAGATACTTTAAGAAATTGTAGCAGGCAGGCTCATCTGTTAAACTGTCTCACTTCGCTTCCCAAAATATCCTTTACCACTGAACACCCACTGTCCAACTGGTCTTGGTAATCTCTTACCACCAAAGCAATTAAGTTCCAAGAAAAGGATTTGGCAGCGCTAACCACAATTAGTAATGTAAGCCAGGAGTAACCCCCAGGCTCAGCTAAGCCACAACTCTCACCTGTTCGTGGGGTAGGGGGGATCTGCCACAGTTCCACCACGCATTGGGAGTGGCCTGGGGTAGGAGATTAAGGCTGGTGCAAAGTCTTGAGGAGAAGTGATGTATTCAGGAGACTGCACCTGCTGTGCCCGCTGCTGAGCCAGCACCTGCTGCTGCAGGAGAGCCTGCTGGTACTGCTGCACCTGGGGACATCAGGGCAGGGTTACCAGAACATTCTTGCAGCCTAACACATCCCCCACCACCCTCCAGAACACAAGGGCACAGGGCCAGGTGAGTGAGACAGGTCAGTGAGACCACTCTTCTTTTCCAGCATACTGCCAGTCACATGTTAGTCATCATCACAACCCCAACACATGCTACTGCAGCACTGCTAATTGTGGTTTCATCATACTCTATCCTTACATCAGCACCACTTCTCCTCATCTTTGAAAAGCAGGCTATGGCAGTTAGCTCTCTTGCTCTTCAAGTAAGAACTGGACATGACTGTCTTCAGTGACTTTGTCATATAATGTGCATCTGCTGCTGTGGCTAGTACTGCAAACATCAACCAAGTGTATTTCAAACGAGCACAGACCATTTCATAAAGCTTGGGATTGATCCCATCCTATTATTAGTACCCAAACAAGCTAGTTGGGATTAACTTCCACCAACTAAATATTATTTTAGATGCCAAACTGCACTCCATTCAGCATGTCCACAGCTCAGTACAAGTAGCCAGGCACTTCTCTTACTGCATCTACACTAGAGATTTACAAGCACAGGCCATACTTTAAGACTGTACCATCTCTGTGACATACCATGGCAGGATACTGTGACTGGGCAGGCTGCTGCTGGTACACCGATTGCAGCAACAGCTGCTGCTGAATCATCTGCTGGTGCACTGCTTGGTGATACTGAAAAGACAAAAAATAGCTTTAAAAAGTAATGATGCCCCCTCAGAAATAAGCAGGTATTTTAATTAATGTCTCTTTTGACTATCACATCTATGACTCCACAGCATTTCTCAATTAAGACACCATATAATCAAGAACCAGCTTGCAATCCAGTCACTGCACTTCAATCACTCTACTAGGAAGCTTTTTCTTCCCCCACTCCCCAGCCAATTCTAAACAAACACACAAAACACCAATCAACAAAATCAGCTACAACAACAAAAAAATCTGACTAAATATTCAGCATTGGTGCACATATAACCATCTACTGCAAGCGCAACATTCACTGCCCATAACCACGCATAGTATTAATCCTGAGCTCCTTTACACATGGGTAAAGCCTTCAAATCACACAGTGGCGATGCAAACCAAGATGCAATTGAGGGTCAAACTGCAAGAACCCAGCACAAGGCAAGCAACTGTCTGGGACAAAAAATTCCAGAGCCAATGAAGGGAAAAAGCAATAGTAAGAAGGGACAGGAGTTTTTTTAGCTGGAAAAGTTCAGGCAGCAAGAGCAGAAGGGTTGAACTGGCACATGACTCCAAGGGTTATTAACACACAGAATGAGCCTCAGACACTTGTCTAACAGATCTGCCTGTACCTGCTGGATATAAGCATCCTGCATGGCAGGCTGGTGCTGCAAGTGGTGCAGCTGCTGCAGTCTCCAGTCTCCCTGCTGCAGCTGCTGGAGGACTCTGTGCTGCTGCGGGGTGGTCCCTTGGGACTGTGAGATGTCTTGGCCGTTTCCTGGTCGCGTGGCACCTGTGACAGACAACACTACTGACATCCGACTCCTCAGCCCCACCCAGAGCGCCCTCCCTGGCAGTTTTTCACCTCTAGCTGACACTGTCTGTCAACTTCTCTTCCCAGTCTGACAACCATGACAGCTGGTAGATACCAAGCTGACTTCCCTAAAAGTAATTCTAGGCCCGCAAATGAACCATTCCTATGTGCAAGATGCTGGGAACTTCCCCTGGCCTCATGACAGCAAGCTGGGCTCCAGGTTTCTGCTTTACTAACACTTAAGTTACACACTACAGGATCTCAAACCCTTACCTCAAAGCACACAGCTTTGTATGATGCATTTAACACTGACGTATCTTGAACTTTTTTCCTTAAGCAAACTGTTAGCTCATCCATCAAACTCACTTAAACAGAACACCTGATTAATTTTGCCATTCCATTGCTTTTGCACCTTTAAAAAGACAAGTGCTACCATAAATTTCTCTTGCACAAGGCGTTTTATATTCTGAAGTGCCCAAGAATGATCTGTTCCTTGCTATAACAGAAAAAGCTTCTCAAGCTGGATGTTATGGGGATCCCACCTAGTAAAAAGTACTTACACCTGGGAAACAACATTCTCAGTGGCCTTTTGAGACTTTTCCAATACTGTCCCTGAAACTACCCTTCATTTTCTGCAGCAGACACATAACAAGACAAAATGCAAGTAGAAAGTGTGCTACGTATAAATGTCAACTATTTAAGTGAATATTTATCAGAGTCATAACTCTTTCCGAAGGAGAAGAAGAAAAAGGATTTTTCAAAATCCCATTTCACTCGACTGAGTGTCCCCTAATTCCTCCTGCTCCCACAGGGCCATATGGAATGAATCTGTCAGTCATGAGAGAAGTGAAGTGGTTCCAGCCTACAAATACCATCAACATATTGGTGCTACATCATGACTTCTTGAGGCACAGGAGACTATTTTTCCTACTACAAAAAAAACCCAGTTTGATACAGAAAGGCTCTGTACTTTTTGTGACTTAGTCACAAGTCAAAACAAGCGTGAACTTCTGTCTGCAGCAGACAAGTTCATTCAAAAACCAGTGGTAAGCACAAGGAAAAAACACTTCCAGCTCTCAATCTGCAATTCATTTTTCTGGCACCTCAAACTTACAGCTCACACATTTAGAGTCTTGTAGAAATTAAGATATGGTTTTTGGTATATAAAAAACCAAGACTGATAAAAATGAGTTTTAAATATCATCTGTAGTAGAGCAAGAGGAAGAACAGAGGCACAGTTGCTTCCTTATTTTGGTCTACCCTTAGACTTTAAAAGTTACCTTTTTGCCCACGATTAGCAAATTCCCCAGGAACTTGTACTTTGACAGGAGTTGCTGAGCTCTGGATCGTCAGCACACTGCAAGGGGCAGTGCTCGAATTGGCCTTTGGTCTTTGTCGTGGTGCAATTGAGGTTTCTGTTGGTCCAACTGCATCTGTTATTCTGAAAGGGCAATTTTTCCCATATAAGATACTTAATGAAAAGACAACTACTTCTACTTCAAATTTGACACAGCGCATCTCTCAATAGCTGAGTTACGTCTTAATCATGTGCTACTCTACTTCTGCACTGCATGTAAAGATCTTAAAATTCATTTCCTAAAACTCGAGTTCTGTGCTCGAGTCCACAACCGTGCAATTAGGAACAGGACTACAGTTCATACGTACAAGAAATAAGATAAAGGAAAACATTATGTGTTAGGTCAAATTATTTCTACTTTTACTAGTGTCTTATGGTTTTGTTTCTCTTTTTTTGGGAACAAAAATATCAACTTCTCTCCCTGGATTCTCAATATATTGAAAAAAGCAAAGGAGTGGAATCCAAACAGACTTGAAACTCTTAGAAATGCAGTTTATTTAGTAACTTGTACTGAGATAATATTTCATTTATCATCAAGCATATGAACATAGATTTAAATAAACATGTAGCTTAAGAACATTAGGAGAAAGAAAATGTCAAGTCACATCCTCTGCTCACCTTGCTTTTATTTGGCTTTTTCTGGCAGCTGCCTCACTAGCTGTCATGGGCTCAGGAAGACTTGAGGGGACAGGAGAATTCTTGGGAAAAACAAATTTGAATAAATTAAAAAAACCAAAATCCTGAAGGAAAAAAATTCATTACATATTGAAGAGGAATACGTGGATTCAATTCCTGCACATTACAAGGCTTCATGCAGAACTCACAGCTGTAGATGAGAAAGAGTTCAACTTAGCAGTATCTCTATGTCATCTCAATGTGCTGCAGAGGTAAAGCAGACCCTGACTGCTCTGAGTCTTGTTGGCTGCTTCACTTCATTTACACTGCCAGCTATCAACAATAACGTACAGCCTCTTCTCCAAGCACTTCTGTGTGACTGCACAAACACTTAGTTCAACCCCGAGCTCTAAAGCAAAGCCCAGTCTTGGGAGCAAACTGCTTTTAGCACACTCTGCTCTTCCACCAGAACACAAATTCCAGAAAGCCACGCATCACCACAGCTTCCATAGGCTTTAACCTTACCCCCAACCTCATCACATTGCTGAATGAATCCCACATCACCTAGGCTCTGTTTTACAAGGAACATGGCAGTTTGGGGCAAAGGAGGCAATCCATCATCCCTAATGACAAATGCACATAGCAAATGCAAATCTACATCAGGTCACAAAGAACAGAGACAGTTCACTATCAAGTACTTCAAGACTTCCTGGTTTATTTTAGTAGGGTGCTTCCAAAAGGCAACCCTCAAATTTACTGAGAATCTCCTCTACAATGATAAAGGAAAAAAAAGGAATTGAAAGGGATCTCAGAAAATTCACTTGTCTGTCTCTGAAGACAGAGATTACTACAACTGATACCTGTTGCAAAGTCAGTTTTGAGATGGATTTTTCCTGATACCTGCCTTGAGAACCACTTTATAATAGTCAGCATTAGCTAAAGGTCCCCAATTTCCACTGCACTGCAGATACTATTATATCTGCAAAGCAAGTCATCTTGGAGTTCAAGCTCAGACCCCCATGGAGCAAGGGTAGGAAGGCAGGCTGACTCAAGCACCGCTCTGTTTGCTTTCCAGCTCACTGGAGTCCTTCCAATGGACTAACACAATTGCTAAGGATGCCTAAGTCAAGGGTTTATCCAGAGCAAACATACATGCTCTTGACACTCCATTTACAACATGAAGCCTTGCACTGTCAGCAAGGTTAATATCTGCATATTTCGTCTTGACTGCATTAAGAGATGACTAACAGCTCAACTCCTGAGCCAGGTATCGGTATGGTATCAATACAGTCCATGAAGCTATCTCCACAAAATTACTAACGTGTTTTGTTTATACAGAGGTCATACTGCACGTACACAACATCAGCCTGACGTGTTCTCTGCTCTGTGTTATGTTTAGGAACCAGGCAAATGACAGAACTGACATGCACTCTCAGCTCATCTGACAGATTTCTCCATACTACCTACATAACACACTGAAAACACAGAATGAAGTCAAGAGTACTTACATTCATATTAGACACTGGACACTCCTTTTTAGCAATTTTAAAGGCAAAGTAAGATACTTGGAAGATATCAGGTCTCTGTTCTTGATCTGGCTCAAGCATATATCCTGCAAAAAATTGGTAAGATTTATCACTGCTAGATCACAAAACGCCTGTTGAGACAGTATGCTACTAGCAAGGAAAAAATCCAGCAGTTCCAGCAAATCAGCTTACCACCACAGGAGTCATCTGCACTGTTATCTCAGGTTTGGGGGATTTTTTAAAATACTTTTGGTTAAGTCGAATACTTTACAGGATCAAAAACAATCGTAGAATGTGTATGCTGCTTGACAGGCTGACACTCAGCTGTGCAAAAGGGAGCTAAACTCAAGTAGGAATTGCTAACTGCAGAGAGAAACAACACAAAATCAACTCACTGCAGTAACATTTTACGGGACAAATACAAAAAAATCAGTGTAGGTAAAATGGCATTGACAGGTGTTACTACATCATGCTAAGGCTTCTGTCTGTAGGTTTCATTAATTATGAACAATTTTGCATATAAAAAAAAAAGTTTCATTAATAAGAGGACCTTTCCCTGACAACAGACACAATTCCTGATGTTCCCTCAAACATTTGCTTGCCAAATTAAAAGGTCTGGTGTTTTTCCAATAAATCGGTTACTTGACTCTCTCTCCAACATAACAGTATATACAGGTAATCTTGCCTAGATAACCAGAGAACCTAAATAAACAATAAACTGCTGTTGCTCAATGTGCAACGTACACGAATGTGCACTCGAAGTGCTTTGGATTTGGTATTGCCTATTATATAAAAGCATAAACTACGTGGTCAACACATCCGTAACTGAAAGCTGCAAGAGCTCCTACTGAAACCTTTGGAATTTTTCATATGCTGTCCATCTCACTCTTTCAAGTAAGCCTACTCTAGGTTGAACACAAAGACAATACTGATGATTACTGTAAATATTAGCTCCCACATCTCTGTGCCTGGATAACAGATCAATCACAAGCCTCAGAGTTGCTTCTTGTCCAAAGTTTTCCTTCACACACTTCATGCTTCCAAACCCTTGCTAGAGTTCATGTCTGACACCTGGGGTAGCACAAAATTTTCCAGACTTTTGTTCCAGTATAAATCGTGCAACTACTATTAAAGTTGTCCCCAGTGTAATTAATCTCAGCACACTGATGTTGCTATGCTAAAGCTGCAGTACAAATTTAATGAAGCATAACTGTCCAACTTGGACAGAAAATACTGTCAAGAGTCCAACATTCCACAGAAAACACACACTTAAGAGCACAGGCATCAATAAATAGAGCTAAATAATTAATAGAAGCACTCTTGGCATTCCCTCTATTCCTTTGGGATTTATAGACACCTAAGGAAAAAAAAAAAAATCATCCTTGAGTCCCAAAGCCACAAGGTCCTTTGAGCTTGAACAATGCTCTTGGGGAGTTGAGAGGCACAGGTGAGCGTGGCAGGTCCTCCCAGCAGCACTGCTGAGCAGAACGTGCTGTGCTGTGCTGGGCTGGCCTTCTGAGCTGGAGACGCTGCTGCAGTGCCCGTGTACGTACTTATCAAGCAGTGAACGCTGTGCGAGTACCGCGAGCCATCCGGGATGGTAAAGCTTCCGTCACAAATGGCAACCTGGCTTTCTCCAAAGGGCAGCGAAAAGAAGCACAGCTTATACAGCAAGCAGCCCAGTGCCTGGAAAAGAAACACAGCCCTGTGAGGGGGATGAGAGCAAGTCCTTGCTACCAAGATATTGCACCCTGGCTACCGTGGATGTCCACACTCTGCATGGGAGCTGCACTTTGGAACACAGCTGACAGATCAAATCCAGCTATAACAACACTTGCTCTTCCACTGATTCCTGTAGCAGACCAAGTACAAAACCAGAGCACACTAAAGACACCATTCTCAGTGTCACATCACCCACAAAGATCACTACTCTCTGCACTCAACTTCGTTTTTCTTCTCTGCACATCAACTCATAAAAATACCTTTCTCGATTATGCTGACAACAGGTTTCCATAAGAAATCACTGGGAGCTATCAAGCAGAAACTGGAGCCAACATAAGAAGAGATACTTTAAATCACATCCCCACTTTTCTTAAAAAAAAAAAAAAAAACAAACCCAGGGATTAATTTTATTTACAAAACTGTAACTACCCAAGATCTCTACTGTTCTGTGTTCTACAGCTGCCCAGTGTATTTCATTTTCCAATAATTAATTTTTCAGTCAGTCAATGCTGGTTTTAATCCCCGCTTCCTTAAGCTACCCCATATATCATAGTACCCAAGTTTTTGCTTACCCAAATATCTGCCTTGGTAGTAATTGGCTTTCCTCCATACAGATTGATCATCTCAGGAGCTCTGTATGATAGCGTAGTGTACCTAGCAACATAAAATAGAGGACATAAATCTTGCCTCAGAACTGAGAGACTGTTTTCCCGATCCACCATGCACACAAGTTTCAGGCATGTGCCTGGAACTGTCTTGCACGATCCAAGTCATTACTGCATTTGCAGCATCATATGCACAAATGATACCTGGAGCATCAACATGAACTAACAGAGACAAAAAAAAATTTTGCTTTTAGTGTTTTTCTCCCAAAGCACAGACTGTGCCAGACTAACTGTGCAGGGACTAACTGCGAGTCCTACGAGGGCTCTCCCCATCTCACACTGAAACATACAGAACTCATATTTCAAAACACTAACATCCCAAAACAAATGCTGAACTGGTAGTTCAATTACTTCAGAGCAGGAAACAGCCTCTATCACTTCATGACTTGAAAACAGGCAGCCTCTATTTACCTCTCTGCAGTAGTTAGCCCAAGAGGGTAAAACCAAAATAAAACATGTTTTCAAGAGCGTATCTAAGAGAAGTTGTCCTAAAGCTCATCAGAAAAAGACTTCAATGGACATGGACCATATTCTGCAAAGAAGACTAATAAATCCATTGCAGCGCTTATTTACATCACTTTGTGATATCTTAGCAAGTATTTGCTTAGCAGTATTAAAACAGCACAAATTAAAAATATCCAACTCCTAACATGGCCAGGAGCCAGACATATTTTTGAACAATTTACTTCCACAACAGCATGTTTTTTCCCAACAGTTTTATTTTTAAGAATTTCAGTTTTGAAAAACAATCTGTGAATAAATGGAGGAAATCATAACAAGTACTTCCAGTCTTTTACTACATATATGCAAAAATTAATTCAAGATCAGCCATTAATTTCAATTCATTAGTGACACATGCACATCACACTACAATACAGTTTCCTGGCTGCAGAGTCATTGCTTATGACAGATCACCTAAAAGTAAACTTACTTTTTAATTTCTTCTTCAACCATATTAACACCATCTTTTTGAGGGTTCAGGTATTTGTTAGTGGCACTGCCAAAATCACAGAGAACGTAGTTGCCGTTATCATTTAACAATAGATTCTCCACCTTGAAAGAAAACCAACACACAAAAATTAGGTTAATATAACAGCATTAATTTCCAGGTTAAGCGTTACTCCAGGTTCTCACACACAAACACGAAGTTGCCTGAAAAATCAACTGCTAAATTTTGTTTTAGCAGTAAATGATGTCCTACGGTTAATGCCTGCTTATAGCTCCACCAACAGCAAGCTCCCAATTAGAAACCTCTCCCTGTATCCTCAATCCTTTTCAAGCAGATCACTGCTTTTAGCCTGGATTTTCTTACAGTGAAGGTCATACCTTCAGATCCCGGTGAACAATAGGTGTTTTGCACTGATGTAACCGGGCAACAGCTTCACATGTGTCACAAAATATTCTCATTACTTCTGACTCGGTGAAGCCTGTCTGCAGACGCTGATTCATCTGGTTCACAACTTGTCCGGCTAGAGAAACAAAAGAAATTTCTTTCAAGTAATTTCTATAAGGTACAGAAGTAAAGACTTAGTTAGATGCATTAAGTCCACAAATATGATGCATCAAAGTTTTCCACAGTTACTGTATCTGAACAAAACAAGCCTGGTTTTCCAACTGCACACTCTTGTATCGCCCTAAACAGAAAAATTACTGGCTCAGATGAAAACCATCTGATCCCTGTGGCTGAAACGTGTTTGAAACCAACTGTTGCAGACACAAAAAAGCATCCATCACGCCAGTATGTCACCTCAAAACTTGCTCTTGCATTAGGATCCATAACCCAAACTCTCACAACCGAGTTCATGAATTCATTCTCTAGATACTCTCTTCTCTGTCTCACTGGGAGACAAAGGAGGAAGAAAGGGGAGCCAGGGAAGGAGGCGTACAAAGCCCTGAACCCATCCTCCAAGGAAGAAGACCTCTCTTTCCCTTTTCATAGGTTTCTTTTAAGATTGGGAATGAATACTTCCCTGTTTCTTGCAGTAATTTTACCAGACACCATTAAGCTCTTCCTACGACAATGCTCACTGCACACAGAGGTGAAGAAGGATTCTTGCAGAGATGCAGCAGGGCCTTGGTGGGCATTCTGCCAAACAAGGATGCTTACGACACAAAAAGCTAAAAGACCACTGCCAAGTGATCTGACAGCTGACAGCCACAGGGCTATTTACCAGGATCATTAGGGAAGTAAGGCCAAAAGGGAGTCAGAACTGAGCTCCCACAAAGGTACAGAAATTCACCCATACAAGCAGGGTAAAGGGCCTAAAACGTGGCCATTAGTTTTCACCTTCTCCTTATTCCATTCCCCAAAAGGTACATTAAGGTTGTCTTCAGCTCCTTAAGGTACAGATGCTGACTGCTTGTACTGCAAAGGTAACATACAACTCAGCTCAATGCATTCATGGAGCAGTACAGACCACGGGGTGGCTTCTTTCTAGGCTCAAAGCATTTACTTTGCACTTGCAGCACTTGTTCCAGTACCACCAGTTGCTTGGGTTAACCACCAGCTCATAATAGGAGGCCAGCATCCCGTCTCCCTGGATTTTAAAAAAACTTTACAAGTTAAACTCATTGGCAAGTTTATTCCATAGATATGGGACCTGGCAGGGGAAAACCCCAAAAGAGGCAGTTCCTGTATGGTTTCAAACAAAGTTACATTGTCAAGGAGGAACACGGGGCTAACATATTTTGGACAGGGCAATCAACCTTAACTTTACTACACCCATTTGTAGCAAACCACCTGTCAGGTAAAGCTTCTTCACTGCTGTCAGCTGAAACAAAAAAAGCAGAGGGAGAAGAGTGATGCAAGTCTTTCCTATCAGGGTATGTTCCAGGTACGTGCTGCTTAGCACCACCACTAGAAGAGCACAACTGCACTTCATTCGTAGAGAACTCATCTCCCTGTTTGTAACCATATTTAATTACAAAGCTTTGTTAAACTTGTACATTTTGCCCAGTGCCTAGGCAGCAATGCCAAGAGAAAAGTGAAGCGAACTACCTGGATTCCAGCTGTGAGACATACGTGTTAACCTCTCATATTAAGGGAACAGTTTGAAGTAAAACCACAGGTGATAGTACAAACATTTTCCTCTGGAAACATAGGCGATGACTCGTACCTCGACAGTACTCCATGAGGATGAGCACCTCCCACACGTTATCACTTAGTGAGTTGACAGCACAGTCCAAGTAGCTCACAATGTTCTTGTGCCCAGATAACTCTTTCTGAGAAAAAGAAGAGCAATTTCAGTTGCCACTGCAGCACCAGAAGAAATTCCTTTTTTCTTTGGAACCAGACATACTGACCAAATGGAATATACACATTTGATCTGAGGTATCAAATACGTATTTGAATAATGCCTTCAGAAATTAATCACGCACTAACCTTAAAGCAAACATTAGTTTCTGTAAGTACTGGTGGAAAATCAGGACCACAGGATCAAAAGCAAGAGGTGCCTGAAAACACTGGAGAGGCATTTGGTGCGTGCACACCACAAAGTGCCACGTTCTCCAGTTGCAGACCGCGGGCTCCTTACCATAATGGTGATCTCTCTCTTGCAGACGTTGAGGTCTGGCACGTTATTCACACACATTCGCTTCAGCGCGCAGCGCGTCCCGCTGGGCGTGCGCACCAGGAACACCGTGGAGAAGCCACCTGGAGAACACGAGGGCAAAAACAAGCAGCTACTTGAGTTCCTTGGCATTCCTCTAGTCAACGTCACAACATTCTAAGGATGAGCAACAACGACTACGTGGGTCACTGAGTGACAAGTAACAAACACTTCAGAAGTTAAAAATTAGCTACCTCAACTCGTTTCTTTCACACCAAGTATTCATGACAAAACCATAGAAGCCTAACTGCTTTCGTACAACACTACATTAAAGCATTAGGAAACCATTTTCACGTTCAAATGAATTCATAAAGCACAGAACAACTACGTCTTGAGACATCAACCCTGAAGTACTTGGAGTTATTCAAAAACCTGAATCAAGTGAAGGTACATTAATTCTCTAAACCGACATTCTAAAATACAAAAAAAAAAAAATATTTAAAAGAATGCTGAGAGATACTGAAGAAGTCATGTGTCTTTCAGGTTAGGCTCAATGGCCTCCCTGGAGCGCAAGCAACCAGCCCTAGAGAAGTGTTTTTTTTCAAGCACACTGAATGGGCAGAGTAGAATTGAGCATTCTCTTACAACCAGTCCCCCCACGAACATACTTAGTCCAACAGTGGCATGAACTGGGAACCACACACTCAAGCCCACTTCCCAGTACGAGCCGTTTTTTCTCTCTTCACTCGTAGAAAAGAATCAAGGAGGCAGGAAATGCACACACAAGTGAAACAACCAAGTACGCAGAAAGTACTTCCCCATGCTCAGGAAACCACAGTGAAACCCACCACTGCTGTTTTTGCTGCCTCCTGTTAGTCCTGCCAGCTGCTCAAGGAAGCCAGCATCAGCTCAAGACTCGCATGCACAGCTTTCCCACAGCTACACGAAATCCACCTCACAAGAGAGCTCATATAAATCCCTGCTTTCCTTAACTGCTGTCTGATCCAAAGCCAACCGGCACCACAGCAATTCTGTGCGAGAGCAGGAGCTGGGGTACACCATCAGGACACAAACGTACATTAAAACCCTTACCTACTCGATAATCAGGTAGCCAATTGAAATGCACATGTTTCATGGTACCCAGTAGCATCTGCAAGCTGTGTTTATTAAGTATAATGCATCTCATTTGATGCAAGCCTCATGTGCTTGAGCAAACAAGCACATGATCAGTTCCACTCGAGCAGTCAAGTTTTATTAAAGAATTTCTCTTGAAGATTAAGTATTGATTATTTTTTAACTTAATTCTCATTTAGTCAAATGACAGGCTAGGCTGTCAAAGCAGAATTACTGCCAAGTTTAACTCAACAGCCTCACCCTAGTTTACATAGGGCCTTCCTAAAAATTCACATGACTCCCACTCTTAACAGCTCGAGTTCTAAACGCTGAACTCCAGCTGGGACTTAAATGATCCCACCTGGGGAACTCTGCCACAGTGACATGCACACCTTCGTTAGGAGAAGAGTTTTCGTACTAGCTTCACAATAAAACTACCTGGTTTGTAAGCACCAATATTTGACTAAAAAGAGAAAGCAATAGTCAGGTAAAGCAAAAGACTCACGATTAGAAGGTAACAATCACTTCTTGACTTTTTAACCGGTTTTATAACCTTGAAATTCTCTCTGACTAGTAGGAGGACAAAACTCAGATTTCAATTTTCCCTGACAAGTGCTCCGAAGTAGCCCGAGCAGACATGACTAGTGTCTGCTAGTCATGTCTCAGCCCAGTGCCGCTCTTGCCATTAGGTGGCGATACCAGCCAGCCGCTGAACCCTAGGGACTGAAAAAGCAGCTCGGGTCCTGATTTGGCAAGGAGCAGATCCCTGACCTTGAACGGTTTTCCATCAGTAAATACCACTGCTATAAAAATCCCTTCCTCCAAGAGCCAAGTGGCACAACCCTGAGCAGGACCCGACCGGGTGACCTGTCCTGCCATCAGCTCAAGGGTTTTCTCACTGCTCCCTTTGCTGTTCTCCCCTCCATCCCACCGGGCTGTGTGGGACTCAGCTGCTGTCTGCTGTCCAACACAAAAAGGAGCTTCGACTCTTTCAGTCTTTTATTTCCACCGAAGTCACTCGAAGTTTAAATCCCTCGAAGGGTGGCCACGTTGCACTTTTCCTTGGAATGCTTACTAAAAAGCCTTTCTACAGCATCTATAGTTATACAGATAGCCAACAAATACTTAGAAGAATTAAACTCCTTAAAAAACTCACACATCTTTCTTACCTTCCTTTTCTTGAACTGTCTTGCACCTGTCACCTTAACTATCTAACTGTCAGCTTAACTATGCACTTTTGGGATTTTATTATCAGCTAACCAGCAAGGATTTGGGCTTATTTCTGGGCTAGTTATTTTGTTTGCTTTTAATGAAATTCTACATCAGCCACATGTGTTGGGTTTTTTGCTACTTGTATTTAAGGTCAACCTTGATTAATTTCACAGGCCTCAACACGCCATTTACACTTTATCATGTTACATTCCTGAAACTCAAACCAGGAAGCAGTGGAGCTGTCATAATTCTAAGCACCCTATTTGCCTACTCAGGTAGAACAAACTAAGGCTGAAAAATCTCCCAGCAACTTCACCATCTTTCAGACTGCCGAGAGCCATTTTGTGGAGACAGTCTAGAAGAATATGAATAAAGATATTCTGAATAAAGTTACGCATATTATGTATAGAGAGACAATACCTTTTTTTAAAGTCATACAGATTTTTCTGAATGAAACAACAACCAAATGTTGTTTCTCCAAGCAGTGCATCCCTTGGCTATTTATTCAAATCTCAAACAGTGCAGAACTTCTGGCACAGAAGGATTTTACCTCTATAGTAACACAGAGCAGCCACTAATTACACCTGTAAAAGCTGAACCAGGAATGGCAGCTACTCCACTATAAACGGTTCCTTACAAATGCATATGTGAGCTGCCCCCCAGCCCTGCTGTGTGGATGCCCAGCCAAGCCCTAACCCCAGTGTGTGTGCTCACTGCCTGGAAAGCAATGGAAAGTGGTGTTCCTGCTGAATGCAGGCAGCGGTAAGTAACACCAATCATATGCACACATCCACCTTTCTGTATATTTACATCTGTGCTTTTGTGTGTGCGCACATGGGCACGGGAATTTTTAGCTAAGCTTGCTCCACGAGCCTCAGTCGTGAACACTGAACATGAGGCTGAGACACAGCTCCACCCAGAAGAACGTCTGACAAATGCTGCTCCCAAGCTCAAGAGCTCAACATTCCCCAAATCAAGAACAGAAATAGCTCCCTACATCTAAAACACTCCGTTTCTACACACGCATTTCAGAGTTCAGTACTTCTCCACTTTATTTTAAGCATGCAGACAATGCATTCCAAGGGCCATACCAGTGCTCCCTTTCCCACTGCCCACACAAATTCCCACCATGTAACAAGCTGCCTATCACAGCTAGTTTAGACAAGCAGCACTGTTTTCTCAAATTGGCATCTGCTCCTACGGCAGCACTGGGAAAACAGCAGCTGTGAATCACATCCCAGCAGGACATGACCGTGCAGCCACAGAAGGCAGGTCTGCTCTGCACTGTTACCCTGCCACAGGCACGGATGCTTGCATTCCATTTCTCCCAGCATCACCTGTAGGCCAACCTCACAAAAAAGCTTTGAGAGAAGCACCAGAGACTGCCTGGGGGATCCAATACACGTAAGTTTCTGAGTGAGAAGGGAAAGCTGAATTAAGGTCTGCTATAGACGTTTGTGAAAAGTTTCTGTATTTGTTAACACCCATGCACTGGACATGTCCAAGGGCCCAACTCGAGATGCTTAAGATCTGGCCTAGTGAAGAGCAAAAGCAAGGGAGCTCCGTGTCCTGCAGCACAGCCTGTCACCATCCCACCTAGCAAGTCCAGGTGACTCGCTAGCCATGTTGGACTACTGCTTCCATGGCACCTCCTGCCTGACAGCCTTGGCTACTTGGCTGCTACATAAACAAAAACCACCCATTTCCTAAAGCAGCCCTAAATTTCCTAACGCACTTGCAATTCCTGCAGTAACCTAAGTTTAAGGAAGATGAAAGCAGATTGACTAAAAAGCTCACTTAATGCAAACTTGAAAAATAAAAAACCCAAACCAAACCAAAACCCCCAAGCATTTAATACACCCTGCAAAGAACACATCTTATGCACCCAAGACAAAATATTTTATTTTTTAGGGTAAAGCTGATGCCTTCTCATACTCTGGCTGGAAAAAGACCTAAAACCTCTCTGTATTTTCCATCTTCAATCAAGCTGCTTGAGAGTTACACTACTTTCATGTATTACATCATCACTGCCTCTTTCAGTTCACAAAAACTAAAAAAAAAAAAAAACAAAATTGAATGCATTCACCTCTACAACTACATTTAACAGAAGCTTGCCTTTAAGTCAAGTAATGCTTTCTTCCTGTCTATAAGGAAAGGACCATAGAACATGACCAGCAGATCAACAGTTAAATTGACTGTGAAAATAATTGTTAAGCTCTACTTCCTCATCTGTGCTTTTCACCAGAAAGCTTTTCAATTTACCCAAGACATTGATAAGACACCTACAATGAGCATCCATTAACACAATTTACAAAACAAAAACCCCAAGACCTGAAAACGAGGAACAGAATTTTATCTTTTCATTGTCTTCCCCATCTCATGTCTTTGTTCGCTGAACTCAGCTCCAGCTGTAGTTTGGTCTGACCTGAAAACAGAGTGAGCTGAAAAACCACAACAATGACAAGATCTATGCATATAGGCTCAACAAACCCAGAGTTAGCCATTCTACAACAGTGAGGTTAAGAGCATGAATTCGTTTCTTTTATACAATTTCAAATGTCATTCGCTACTTGTTTTTAAAAAGCTTGATTCTAGGTCCAGTATAATCTAAAAATGAAATATAGACACAAATTAGTTAAATCAGGAGGCAGATATTATATAGGCAACAGGCAAATACCGTGACTTATTTGCAACTGAGCTTAACTGTCACACCATGTAGTCACCAACCAGTTAAGAAAACTAAACACTTTATCTTTACCGAACTCGTAGTTGCTCTGCA